TAAATAGGAGGTGTTTTGTGGAAGATATTTTGGTTATATTCCTGCTTATTCATTCTTTATATTAATGCAAATTACTAAACAATGTCAACTCAAATATAATTCTTTTATTTAATTGGAAGTAATCTATCTTTGCAGCAACAATGTCAAACCATACTCAAAAAGACCTATAAAAAGCACTTACATGACCATCCAAGCACTCTTAAAGAGATTATAATTTTAACAGGGAATGGTATGACTCTGAAAGGTTTTCATCCATCTTTATGATGATGATTTAAATGTAATATTATTCTAGAGGACAAACCATGATTAAAAAGACCTGACTTTAAGTTTGATAAAGCTCTGGAAAGGTTTTGTCAACTGTAATGCGTATTCATCAGTCGGTTACGCCCATCTGTCTGACATTTATCAAGATTAGTGACTGTATGTACATGTTTTGACTTGTTGTTTTGCCTCAAGTAAAATATTTGTCGTGCAACAAATAGTGTAATCAACCCTACGCATCTGACTCGCAGGCACTGGGTATACGTATTAGCATTGTCATGAATCAGAATACAATGCCTGGCAGTTAGATACACTCAGACTTGTCAATTATTTGCAAAAGAATTGACAATTTTGGCGTCTTTCGTTGCACAACATGACGCTAACATCAAAGATGCCTTCTTGGAGCCATATTGCTATTGAGGTCGGCACAGTTGGAATTTAAATAGGTAATTAAGTGGCTACGGGAACAAGCCGAACAACGGGACCGACAATGTCAAATGGCGGTAGCTATGTAATGCATATTTAAATTGGAATTATTTTTGTGTGTTTTATTTTCGGGGAAACAAAGACCAAGGACGCAAGGCAATATATTTTTTTATTTATTTTTTTTGACGCATGACAAGCAGTTTGGCCCACGCTGTGGTGCCCCAGCAACATCATGAAAATTTGAATTAAATGGCAGAACTTTACGGATACAATCGAATGTCGCAGTTGCGTGCAAATCATGGTCGCGATTAAATGAAAATTAAGCCTGATTAATTACACATTCTTCGTGCCAGATTAATACAAACAAAGGGCTACAAATGTCATATTTTTCCATTGAGCACATTTATTGTTAAGGACACGCATAAAAGCAGGCGCCGCAAGTGTGGCAAAGTGTGAGTGCCATGAAATTTTATTACAGCCACTTTACAGCCAAAAAACACCACTGGTGGCCACAAAATTTAATTAGCTGCTGGTCCTTTTGCCTCCCCACACTCCGAGCTGGCAATTAGGCGGGCCAAGATAAGAGCCAAGAATACAGACAAGTTTGCCAAAGTTCTAAAATAATATACACAAAATACTTTTGGCATTGCTTTAAATAGTTAAAGTATTTGATTTCACCGTAGTTGAGTTTTAAATAATAATCATAAATATTAGATGGCTTTAAAAGTATAAATTAGTCGTTAAAACAATTATCGAACCGTTTGAATTTAATAACAAAAAGAAAATGAGAACAATTTGGTTGTATTCAGAGACTAAGTAATGTTGGATTTAATGATATTATTATTATTATTATTACATCAAACGTATTATTTTTACTATTATTAAATGATCCTTTGATGCTTAATAAAGCAAAAGGTAATAAAAACGAAATAATCATCACTTAATAGTCACAAATATGTAAGACTTTATTTCAAGCTAGCCATTCGCTTAGAAAATAAAAGGTAAACTTTCAATTTGTGCGTAATAAATAATGCATGACCAAAAATATGGGAATAAACTCAACAAATTGTACAATCTTTATGGTCTACACCAGAATATTGGCTTAAAGGCGTAGGTCATAAAACTCTTGACAGCTCCAACAGCAAATATAACAACAAGCAAAAGCTGTGTGTCAATAAAAGTGTCAATCAAATCAATGACAAGCAACATACGACCATTTTTTATACTTGCCCACACACACACACATACACACGCACACACACACACACACACACACACACATGTGTGTGAAATATGCGCCTGCTGTTGCACACTTTAGTGAGCGACCTCTATTCTGCGTCAGCAAAAGAAGAAAGTTCAAAGTGTTGCTGACCGAATGCTGAAGATTAAATGCACTCTCTATTGCTTCTAGGTATACAAATTTAAGCCGAATTTAAATCTAAGCTTATAGAGTAGAGAAAAACTTAAGAGAAACAATATTTCCAAAAGAATATAGTTTTAGAAAGATTTTCTGAAAATTAAAAGAGATACAAGTATGAAAGAAATGATCTGTTATAGTTTTATTGCTGAAAATATATCTCTTTAAATTAATGAAAATCGTAGAATCATTACTACTATTCTAGGATATATATAGCATAAATTTTGCAGACCTCCAAGTGCTTGATTGTTGTAATTTTTTGCTGTGTACTCGCTGAAGGGAATTTTTATGTGGGGTCATCGCCTGTCGATAGTCAAAGGGATCTTGATTTGACTTTTTTTATGGTCAGTGGACAGCGAGAGCGCTCATTAGATGATTGTCAGTTGTGACCAGAGCCAAATGGAGCTGAAAAAGTGCAACTGCCAGCTGTGATAACCATAAAACGTTTAACGTCCGAGCGGCAAACCAAACTGTTGGCCAGGCCAATATGCAAAATGCGAATGCGAAATGCGTTCATTTTTCAAAGTTTGACGGAGCCAGACAAGACAAAGTCAACAAAATGAATCAGCCGAATCGGTTGCCAAGGTTATTAATGACACATTCCAAATACGAGGACAGGCTGATGGCTTGTAACGGATTTAAAGGCAGTGACACTTTTTTATTTGTCTTTTTTTTTTTTATTTTTTTGTTGGAGACAGATTGTGAAAACAGGTGTTAACCACGGGGAAACAATCAAGGCCACACCCACAATATAAATATATTCTAAATTAAGTAGCAAATCGCAAATCCAATATCCAATATCAGACGCACCCCATCTGAACTGCACGAAAATTTATTGAGGAACGTGCTCCGATTGCCAAACGCACATAAAATAACTCGACTGCGACAGTCGCACCACAATGCCGTACATGTGAACCCTAACACAACCAATGCACTACCAAAGCTATTTCATTTCGAAATTGAATTATGCAGCGGTTCTTTGCTCTCCTTGTAAATAAGTATAAGCTCAATATATATTTAAGAGCCATGCTATGAAATAGAGTCGAGTCGGCTTGCACAAGGAATATTACTTAGACTTGCTCAGGGACTGGGTCTGGAACTGCTTCTGCCTGCTGCTTCCTTGGCATGTACAGAGCACTTCCGTTCGTCCAACGGAAGGCAGCCAAACTCGTAACTAAGCCTTGTTGAAAGATGCAAACAAGCTGAGCACACACAATTGACAGCCGGGCATAAATGAAAGCTGTCAACCTTTAGCAGCTGGTCCCGAGTAAACATTTCAATCAGCTTCAATAGATATTATGCAAGCACTCGAACTGCACTCTTGTCTTGTCTTCAAATGATTTTTAATCATTACATTACAGCCATGGCAACTGCCACACTAATAGTAATCCACATATCCATAAAATACACAAAAGCCGTTTGAGCAGCATGCATTAATAATTAAATCGATGTGTTTGCCATAGATTACTAAACGCTAATATAAGGCGCCAAATATTAATCACCCCAAGTGCCAGAAATCAAACACAGACACTGCACCCACCCTCCGGCACAACAAACCGTGTTAGTCGAGGCGACAGACACCAGCTTTAATTGCGCATTAATGTTTATTGCTTGGCGGAAGTGGCGCCATTTCCCTATTTCCGCCACCAAAAATTCCGACAGTTGTCTGTGGGTCTTCGCTGGAAATACCCTTTGTCGAGGGAATGCTTACTTTGGCAGAAACCCAAAAGCTGACCATTAAACTATTCGAACAGATGTTCGCCCTAAAGGTGCACTTGTGTTCAGCTGCGCACAACACTTCGCTCCTAAGATTGTCTTAAAGCAAACAGATTTAAGGAAATAGCGAGGGGTGTGGGGAAGGGAGAGAAAAGTATAACCCTAAGTAAGCAACATCTCAGAGCTTACAAGTGGAATTACTAAGAAATTGAGTTAAGTGTGTGTGCTTCATGGCAATGGCAATAAATCAGAATTCTCAGTATTTGAAATACATTAAGTGTATTTCTCGGAAAAAAAGGACAAGCACTTGACATCAGTCAAATATTGTGTAAGGGAAATTGACTAGCAGGAATTCATTATAATCATAGTTTCAGTTTGTGGGCAGTGCTCACAACAGAAATTAATTGCCTGAAATAGCCCCATTTCAGCTTTTGCATCTTTGTTTTTATTGCTGTCAATAACTCTGCGAACTATTCAGAACTTCCAATAGCTACAGCATAAGGGATAATACTAATAATTAATTAATCTTATAATTTTACAATTCTTATTTAATAGAAAGAATATTTTAATTATTACTAGAATTCCATGATTATTAATTTTATTACTACTTCAGTTAAACTCTTGAGTTACTTTTAAAGATTCTACAACTGTTCAATTTGAGCATTTATTGACTATTCGTCTTTTAGAGTATTTAAGTAGCGACAAACTCCGGATAGATATTGGTTCTTTTTTCCTGTTTTGCTTTGTTTCTTTTATCCTCATCTGTTTGGTTACATTAATTCTGGTCTGTACTCTGTGTGCAGTCGGTTTCTGAAATTTGTTTTGTATTTCCTGCGCTACTAAGCTGAAATACTTCCGCCTGCTTGCGCGGCACTGTGGGTCAAAATTTATGGCGCTTGTTTGCAGACTGTTTCCGCCGCATTTGCCACATGGTTGCCGCAGGATATGGCTTTAAGTTTAACTAAATCGCAAATTAATTGGTATACGCTGTGGTCGACTTCTGACCTTTCAATTGCCTATCTGTTATTCGATGCTAATGCGTGCCATTAACTCAGCCAGTCGGCTATCGAGCAGGACTATTCTCCTGACCTGCAGTCAAGTCTGTATGTGTTATCCACTGATAGAGCGTTGATTTGTTTGAAAAGTAGTTGTGCAAACTGTGCTCCACATATGCCACAGCATAGTAGACCTTCATTTCAAAATGAGAGTTAGATTTTGACATATCAATCATTCTAAATTATTAGGAAAAAAAGTAAATTTTGGTAGGACTTAAAATGGCAGAACAGGATAGCCACGAGGTAGGTCTTAGTTATCAGCATTGATGCGTGTTACTCTTCATATTTTTGAGCTTAGGATGGGAACAGCGTTTCATCACGCATTACGCTCTTTAATAATCATGTGGAGGAGCATATGCAGTGGCAGCGTATCAATCCTTTCGCCCATTGCAGCGTGCGCGATATGCCCAAGCGAAGCATTCAAAAGGAGCAATATGGAACTGCTCCCGCGGGCAGCCTCTCAGAGCAGCGGGCACTGCAGGCACAAGTGCTCTCATTGCAGGAAATACTACAGCTCTGTGAGCTGGTCAATGAGAAGGGCGGAAACGATTCAACCGATGAAACGGCAGAGGTCAGCCTCAAGTTTGGAGAGCTGTTCGAGGTAGCTGCCTGCCCACATTATACCAAGCAATCCTTTCCATCATTGACCCAACTTTCCATTTAGCTGTATAGCCACATCTCGGACAAGTTGCTGGGCACGCTTCTATGCGCCCGTAAGCACAACTACGTTGACTTCGAGGGTGAGACGCTTTTCCAGGGACGTGATGATACCCAGACCGTTCGTCTTGTGCGTCCCTTCGACCAGCTGCGACAGGACCTGGTATCCAAGATTGAGAGCCTGCGTTGCATTTCGGTTGAGAAAACCGAGCCCGAGGAGCACCCGGAACTGTGTGGTGCCCACTTCAGCTAGGGCACGAGCCACGTGGCTGTCAGATTGTCACTTTCCCTGTAGGGGGCGGTATGTAGGGATCACCGACCCGTATCATTTTGTTGGCACGAACCACAGTTTCGGCACGCGCGCCTTTCTAAGCCTTTAACAGTTAATTCAATTAACATTTTGGCAACCTTTGCACAAAAGGCTTTGGCCCCGGTAACCTATGCTTATGCTCAGCACGCCAACTGTGCCCTGTCCAAAGCACCTGACTGTCAAATTGTGGCCAATATATTGCTATCGCATTTCAGCCAACATTCGTATATGCAAATAAATAATATTGAACCGTCTTAGCCTGTTGTAAATCGCAACAGCATGCCACATCTGCCGCAGATAGACATCAAAGCGATGCCTTTCCGCACAGTAACCAAATCTTTGTAAATATATATTCACAGTGTGTACAGTATATATACATTTCAATTTGTAAGTCATTAGGCCATTTATTCATGCAATGCATACAGTGGGCACAATACAAGCGATAAATAAGAGGATAAGCTCTGACTAAGTGACTCCCTAATCACAGCTGTCCATTACTTTGAATAATGAATAAATGCTGTAATGCTATGGCGATAAGAGCAAGAAGTAACTTCTGATATAGTCAACATTTCGAAGCACACTTGGAACGCATTATTCAAAAGATTTGCCAATAAATATATAAACATAAATAGCATCAAAACAGTAAATAGTAAAGTCATTTATTCAATATTCATAAAAGAAAGTTTGTTTTTAATTAATAATACATAATAAGCTCTTTTTAAATACAATGATGCAACAAAATGGGAATTATTTCAAATTGCTAATTAGTTTCTTTTATTCATCAACATTCATTTTGCTGTCGAACAGTTGCTTCCTCCTCTTGGGTGTAATTAAGTATTTTCTTCGCCCACTGTTCGCAACCACCCCCAGCAACCTCCCCCGCACAACAGCTGGGTGTGAATGCGCGACTAATGTACTGTTGATTTGATTTAAAGACGAAATGCTGTGGCTGCTCCTGCTGCTGTTGCTGCTTTTGCTGCTGGTGGCAGAGCCCTCTGGTATATTGTTGTCTCGTTGCTCCTGCAACCCACCTGATTGCTTTCACATTTGCGGAGGTAGTCGTACATTTAACTCGGTGGGCGCCTGACATTATGTATGCCTAATTCAACATGAAACAAGCGTAATTTATATGTAAGGCGGAATCCGCAGTTCTCACGGGAGTCCTTCCGCACACCGGCTTTCAAATTGACGTCAGCCTGCTGTCAGTTCTGTCTGACACATACCATTTTCTTTTTTTTTTTGTTTTAATTTCAGTCACATAATTGTAAAAAGGCGGAGCGCATGTCAAAAATGTATCGATAAAAAAAAATGTTTCCGTTTTTGGCACTGGATTCTTTTTTATGCAAATGTCAGGAAGCGGATCGTTGTGCACCATTTTCATACATTTATCGCAGCCAACTTCAACCGAGGGTCGAGGCCAAAGAAAAACGCACAAAACACCATACAATAAATGTATCTGTGTGTGTGTGTGTGTGTGTGTGTGTAGTGCAGTTTGAAAATTGTCTACGTGCGACTTTTTTCCTTTGTTTGCTGTGTGGGCTTTTAGTAATTTACATCGATCCCTTAGCGAGGCCGCCAAATCACAGTTTCACATTTCAGCGAAGGTAAACAATAGAATTGGACAACATATGCGAACTGTGTTGTCATCGCATGTGTGTGTTGAGTTGTGTTGCGTTGTGTTGTGTTGTGTTGTGCGTAGTTTAACATTTGACTTGTGAGTGGGACAGAGCACAGCTTGTATGCATAATTTAGCTTATAAATTCACGCCCACATGTCCCGAAGCATATTGCATATAAATTATGGAGCTATCCACTTTGTAAGACCACATTAGGCGTATTAACATTTGGCTTCTGTTTAAAGTCTGTCGAGTGAAGACCTCATTGAGGACACTATATATTATTTACGGCTTGCAAAATATTGAATATTTAAGGAGCCGGTGAAGTCAAATGTCTTCAGCTGATTCTATAGCAATTGAAAGCTTTAAATTATGACTTAAATTGAGTCTTTTCTTTGATATGATGTCTTATTTTTTAAACGTTCTTAACCTTTTTATGTATTTCTTTGCTGCCTTTAATAAATAAGTACATTTTATTAAAACTTCCACAGCCAGAATCCAGAAGCGCCTCGCGAATGCGCCACTCTCTGAGCTCTTGACTTAAATTTCCGTCAAAACTGGTAGCTGATTTATGACCATTTCGTGATGATGGTCGTTAAAGGACGTAAACTGAGCACACAGTTGCACATTGCAAGCTTCCGTTTCCGGCGATATTTTCCAAGCTACTGTCACCTTCGCAGTCGCGTTGTTCTCTGCGCTCGTCGCTCGACTCGCCTGTGTTGCTATGCTGTTTTCTAAAAGGATTTCGCAACAAGGCAACACAAGAAGGTGGTAAGCTGTTTTTGATTAGCACACTAAGGTCGAGCGCGTAACCAAAGGGACGCATCAGCATTGTCAGAAACAAAAACGCAAAATGAAACCTTTGCTCGGCTGTTAGACAACCAAAATCGTAAAACAGTCATTTAACAGTTGATAAGCCAAGCCACATAAATGTGACAGACAATAGGCCAGAGACAATAGACAGAAGCCAGTTCGCATTTGACAGTCTTCGATAGGGTCGATTTAAGGTTGCACCCATTTGGCTGGGTCAAGGCGCCATCGCCATCGCCATCGCCATCGCCATCGCCATCACCATCGCCATCGCAGTGGAAACGCAGGCTGCTCATTATGATACTCAACATTTGCGCAGCAAGCAAGCAAGGCAATATACATAAAAATTATGTATAAAGCGAATGATAAAACCGCTGCCAAAAACTAAATATGGCTAAAGAAAACTTTGCAGACGACGCCAATGACGCAAATTCCATTGAATTGGACTTTTATGGAAATGTTGGCCAGTTTCTAAAATCTATATAATATATAATCGTTAAGATTCGTATGATTTAATTCACCACAAATATGTTATATATTATGCCTGATTGTTTATGATTGTCAAGTAATGCCATCTATTAGATTATTGTTTTTCTTCTGGACTGCTTCAAACTTTTTCTTGATATATTAAGTTTGTTTTTCTGTTTTCGTGCTTACGTGTGTATTTATATATTTATATTTATTTACAAGTCGGCACTCTCAGGAGAATAAAAACAGTAACAAAATCCAGAAGCTGGCCAAGCGGAAAGGTCACTGAGGCAAACCCGGTGCCGGGGAATGACTTTGATAAAGCACGTGGCAATCGAACAGCAATAAGCCAGACAAACCAAGAAAAAAAGTAACAAACCAATCTGTTTGTTTTGCGCTTTAAGTAACTTTCTTGCAGACTTGTCCACATGATTTTTTTATAACGCAATTTATTGAAATATTACGGTTTTTTGAGCACTTCAAAGTCTGCTCGCAGTTGTCTTTGTGATGTTATAAATTGAGGTCCTGTCACTTCGCCGCCTGCTTCGATTAATCAACTATTTTAATTATTTGTCAGTGTTCAGCACCATGCACATTTCCACTGAGCGACGAAGCGCACAAATTATGATTAATAAATCATCATTATAAAGCAAACACTCAGCCCTTCTTTAGTCTCCAGACTTAAGTATATAGATATATGTGGGTTGACTTGTGGCTTCTGCGGGCAATCCCAATAAGAACGACGAACGTAAACAAGAACAACGATGATCCTTGGACAACAACGACGAGCAAAGAATCTGCGTAAAGAAGACGATCGACGAAGAGCGAGATTCGCATGCGATGACGGAGAGGAAGATAGTCTCAGTTCATCCTTTGACGGAATAGGTTGCGAGAGCTGTGTCTTAAGATGAGAAATGATGAGAAAGATTATATTCATTATATTAATATCTGTTGTAATAAAATTCCCACAAAAAAATATATATCTCTTAATTTTCAAGTACTTTATTTACAACTATTCGCTATTTTTTCTAACCCTATTGTTATATTTATTCAGTTCTGGCCAAATAAAATTTCATGTCTTATAAATATGAAATAATGAAATATGTATGTCATAAATGGCATTAAATTACCTTAAAATTAAAGCATACCCGCCTTTTCTTCGTGTTCCATACACACACACACTCTTGCAAGCACACTCGCTTTAATCTATATTCCCCCACATATGGCTGTGATACTTGGCAAGGAACTTAACTCACATTTTCAATGCATTGCAATTCTTGCGGCTCCTTGCTTGACAATGCCAAAATTCGTACTTGAATTTGGCACGCGCGTCGCCCGAGCGCAACTCAAAAAAAGACAGTTATTGCACAGCGTTCGTAGACTTGTTGTATACATTATGCTGCAGCAGCATTGTTGAGGCATGCGAAATTGCAAAAGATAATAAATATTGCATTTACTTAGCTGCCTGACAAACTGCCTGAGCTAGTCGACTGTCTGCATTTGGGATCAAGTCAATTTTCATGTACACTCTTTAAACAAGGACCAACAGCTGACAAGAGCTGAACAGGCAGCTGCCATCAGTAGCAACCGCTTGGGCTCCTCCCACCCCACGTGCCCAGGGGACAGATATTTTAGTTTATCAGGCGTTGCACGAGCTCAAGTTGCGACTTTGACCGGGACCCGTCCGTAAATCTCGCCGGCAGCCAAAGCCACTGGATGTGAATTAAGTTTTCGGTCTGCGGTCAGTTGCCAATAAATTCAATGCCCGTGGGTGGCAACAGCGTGTCCACTGTGTCCAGTGTGTTCTGCGTATCCAGCTGCCTCGGATTTTGTCTCCGTTGTGTTGTGTAATTGCGTGAAATAACAGTTTCAATTCGTTGCCCGTCTGCTAAATCATGTGGAAATGTCAAGGTGATTATTTTTAAATTCCCACAACGCTCATTTCAGCACCACTTTCAACATCAAATGCTCAAATAAAGTATCGAACAATGGCGAAATAAAATTAGAACTTTCACTATATTACTTTCCCGCAGCTGATGCTGAATCGGCCAATATAAATAGGCAGAGATAATATATACACAATAACCACATTATGCAGATAACTGTCATTCCTCTCATATGGAGCATTTATGCGCTCGAGAAGAACTAATAAAGAAAGAACTAATAAAAATACAATTCAAGTTGTTTTTAAGCTAACCACAGAAGGGGCACTCAGAAAAGATAATATAGCAGACAGACAGGCGCCACTCATGTCAGATATATAAAAATATACTTATACTTAAAAAATGTAGTGTAACTGTTTCTAGTGAGGCAAAGACAACTAAGAAAACAGGATAATTGAAAGATACCCTAAACCGTAAGTTGCTTTAATCTATACTGAATATATTTCATTGGCTCTGTCTTCAGCTTGTCAATGAGAAGGGTTTACAATCAATTTGTTTTCCATCTGTCTGAAGTTTTAATATTTACACATTTTTTATATGTACATATATATTTATTATTCAGTCCTTTAACGTTTCTATGGCTTTTCGTGCTGCGTGCCTAAAACAGCACCAAAACAAAATCAAACAAAATTGAAAAGGTGAACGGAAGAAAACAAAAAGCAAAAAAGAAAATGCGAAAAGTTGATAATGCGACAAAGCAACTTAAATTGAACTCCAGCATGTATTGGGCTTAGTTTTGCTGATGCAAACAAATTGAGGATTTGGTCGGCTTTCAACAGTTGCAAGCGACCACATAAAGATGTCAACATTTTGGATTTGACAGTGGCAAAAGTTGATCAGGGATATTGAAAAAGAAGTCCTTTCAAAGAAAAGGCGGAAAGTTTAGCATACAACATATATCTCTCTTATATTACATTTTTAGTTAGAATAAATGCACAAATTCAATTAAATTGTTTAGGAACAAAGTTAAGTTCTAAGACTTCAGCAGTTTCGGCAGAAAATCAACGAGCCTTAAGTCATATTTTACTCAAAATATTAACTGAAACTGCAAAATGAAATACTACAAAGAAAACTCACAGAAGAAGTAAAACAACATGGCCCCAAACTGTAAACTGTAAAGTGCACAACAAACATTAAATTAATGTCCGCCTCAGAGGCACACAGCAAACTCAATTTCGATTCTATGATTGTCATTGTCGTTGTTGGGGTTGGCTTCTTGTTGTGCATTTCCGACACTAAAAGTGAAGGAAGCGCACCAGAGGGAAAAGTGCGTAGAAATGCAATTGCAAGTACAAATATTTTATTGGAGTAGTCATTCAGTGGTTCGTTCGTTTTAAATAAGTCTATGATTGCACATGGCAATTCACATAAAAATAAGCATGGGACAGGCAGCCAACAGCCAACAGTCAACAGTCTTTCAATAGCCGCGCAACAATGTTGCATCAACACTCGAGCGCACACCCACACACACACCAAGGTAATAGAGCGGCGCCAATGTTATTTATGAATGAAATGCCAAACAGCTGGCTAAACAGTGGACCACGAGCCTGGCAACATGGCGCATGCGCAATCAAAAATATGAATTCAATTTGACGTCAGCCGGAAAATCTAGCGGAATTTGGCTGGCGGCGCAGTTGGCTGTCAGCGTTCAACGTGTTCGTGCGCAACGTGGACCTGCCTCAGGGGTACACCTATCCAACATATACATAGTGGGTACACCTCGCGGTAACGCTGTGTATGTTTAAAAATATCACTTGCGAAGCGGAGAGCAAGATGACAACAAAGAGCCCATCCGAGTGACCAAGAGAAAGAGAGTGCGTAACACAGAGCGAAAGAGAGAGAGAGAGAGATAAAGTGCTGATATTTTTGTTGATATGCACATAGTCTTTAGTCAAGACAAACATAAATTAAACAAAATATACTAAAGACAATTAACCAAAATTGTTTACAACAGCAAACTAAACAAGTTTTTAAATGCTGCCCAATAAAGATGTAAAGGAGTGAAATATGTGTAAAGTGCATGAGTGCTGCAACATGTTGAAAACAAGTTCAAATCGCTTGCAATAAAAGCGAGCAACGCAATAAATAAGTTCTAAGTAAATTAAAATACTTATACGCAATAAAACGCAAAAAAAAAAAAAAATGGTCTACGAGCAGTGCGTAAATTTATAAATAAATTAAATAAATACTCAGTGAAGTATTGTGTGTATGTGTGTGTCTCGCTGTGAAAAAGAAATCCACAAAACATATTCGAACCGTGAAATCATATCAACAAATTAGCCTTGTCAACCAAACGAAATCTCGTCAAAAGAATTCGCATCTGAGAGTAGATGTGCACTTGTTTGTATGTGTTTGTGTTTTGTGTCAGTTTGTAAAATTCTCCCCATATATGGATGCTTGGTAATTACCTGCAAGTGATGGCATCCCCTGTCTTTCATGGCTGACATATTTCTTTATAAAATATGCAAATGAGTCAACACTCTGCCGCCTGGGAATTCGTTTGGAAGAAAAAACGCCGATATAACTGATTCAGATAAGGAGAACGAGACAGTCGGTCACATTGTAAATTAAATTCCCAAGGTAATTGCACATATCTTAATAAGACTATTAAAAAACCCGCTTGTAAAAATTATATATTAATATGCAAAATGTCAAGTGGCTTTTTTTATATTTTGTTGTTTGAACAACAAAAGTCTTTACGCAAAATGAAAGTTTTTTGTGTCAGCATTGTCGACAAGCAATTGGATATTAAAACTTGAGAAACATATTGTGTCAAGTTTTAAGAATGTACAAAGCTATTATACATTTAGATTGAGTAAATTTCTTTTTATGTTATGCCAGATTCGACTGTTCATCAGATTAAATATGCTGCGGCAGGTAAATTACTTTCAAATTACATTAAACTGAAGTAGGTTGAAAGTATATTTATTTTCCATTTGTGAGAGACTTGATTTCGAGAAAGTGACTATCAAAAATGTATTAATATTAATCTCTGTACAATATATTTTCATAAACGGAATTATAAATCTCTCTCTGCAGGTAAACTTACTCTTGATATATTTGCTTAATTCATCTATAATTAGTTAGTTGTAAAAGCCGAATTAAAATATTTCAAATTAGTTGTTGGGTCAGATAACATGAAAAACTATTAAGCTAATGCACTTTTTAATAGTTACAAGCTTTATTTACATACTATGCGTAAGCCAAATGTTTCCTAACTTTGCCAAACCAACAAACAAAAACAATAAAATTCTGTCAGCTATAAATTATTTTGGTAATGTCTTAAATCTAAGGAATTAGGCCATTTCATTTGTAATCTGCAAAGTAAAATGTAAATAAAATTCAGAAAAGGTTAACTTCATCTGCAGATAAAGTTTTTGTGTACAAATTGAAATATAAGTAAATATAAATACACACACATGTATTCACCACTTATAAGCAACCACATAAGCACTCACTTGCAGGTAAAAGCTTGTATATTTTTCTTGGATTCGCATTGGTAACATTGAGTTACTTTGAGGACTGAGGACTGAGGACTGGTGCCAAATGCGGGCTTAAGCCACGAGATGTGTAAAGTGGCCTTGGGGCTAAGTGCTGGCATTGCAAATTGTAATGCTGGATGGTACTGTGTAGCGCTGTGTGATGCCTGCCACTTAATGGCAAGATGATTAAGTATGCGCTGCATGCTATGTCGCATATCACGATGCAGCAGTCATTTACATAAAAGGCATTTCAAAAATAACTGCGTTGCCCATAATGGGTAGCCCAAAACACATTACCACAGCTTTGGCAGACAGATACACTTTCATACACTTGTAACTATGTAGGCAGCCGGCCGCAGACAATGCGCCGAAAAGGATAATAGAAGCACCCAGGCATAAATCAGCAGCTTTATGTGTACAGGACACTTATATAGGAGAGGGAGAGGGCCATTCAGCGTTGGGCACCTGCTCATTGAGCAATCAAATTGCGCGAATTCGTACAGCTATTCTAACAAATGTGCTCTCTGATCCCTTTGCATTCCTCATCTGCATTGCGAGGTGCTCATTAAAAATGTTTGCTTAATAATATGTAAATTGAAGAATTACTTGGGACAGACATGATGTGCTTATGCGAATTTTCATCGCATTGCTTTCACAATTTTCTTGTTTGCGTTGCTTTCGCTGAGAATCCACACAGCAAAAGCCTTGAAACTGTCAACTAAAAATAAATCGCAAGAGTTTCTTCTTTTTGGTTTTTCTGCCTCTCTTTCAAGCGTTTATTTCATTTTTCATTTTTTCTTTGTTTTGCTCATAAGCGAACGCCGAAAAATAATAATTATATTATCTGCTGTTTTCATTTTGTGGTTCAATATACTTATACTCTCACTCGTGTGAGCATTAGTATTTATTTTAATTTATATGATTTGTCGCATGCTCTTAGCGTGCTATAAATTTTATACTGGCCCATTTATACAACACGCTCGTATATACCACATACATGCATAAATTACTCGACAACATTATGTAAAGAAGAGCAAACGGCAATGTTGCCTCCAAAATCGCTGATAACTTGGCTACCAACTACATACATGACTCGCATATGGGGAAAACACAATAGAATCACGCAGAGACCATGTCGCCTAGTTCGTTGGGCTCACATCATTTACAGCTGTCCAGCGGTGCACATAAATTAGTATACTTAAGCTTTTAATTAAATAAATTTAAGAAACATTCTCAAGAAAATCCGAACCGATCTGAAACATGCGCCACACACACAGTGGCGCCGCCGGAAAGGGAAACTTATTTAAGAGTTTATCAGGCACTTCAAGCATTTTGAAATTTTACAAATGAACTAATTGCAGGGTTTCGAAATTTACAACAATATTTTTAGCTAATGAATCGCTTATAATATTTAAAGTTGCAAAAGAATCTTTAAATTTTCTCTGCATTTATATTTTATTGAACAGATAACCTTCATCAATAATAATATTCTACCAATTAAGCTGTATACCACAAATCGAACTTAATTATCGATTGAATGAGAGAATTACCATTCTTGGCATACACAGTCTAAATCTTTATATAATAGAACCAGCATGACAACCCAATGAAGCTAAGCCGCTAAATAAACTACAATTCATTAAGATAGCATAAATTGCACATTCATTGTTTGTCCCATTTTTTTTTTTTTTTGTTGCTATTCGTTTATGCGGACTGCCTTTTCGTCGTTAATAATTTATGAAGCTTTAAAATTAATGCCGTGGAAAATTTGTGTTGCATTGAGTTTGGCGCTTTCATTGAGTGCAAGCAAACAGTAGCAATCCCACATTTTTAAATATTAAGCATACGCCCAGTGGAGCCAAAAGAGCACGTCTCTGCTTGCTAGTTGACACAAAAAAAATAACAACAACAAAGTATATATAAGAGCACTTGCCAAAAGATTCACAGCGACACACACAGCAATGTGAGAAGAACAGAGATAGAGAGATATAGAGAGAGAGAGATAAGAGAAACAGAGAAAGACAGAGAGAGAGAGAGGTAGAGGGTGTTTGGGAGAAATGGTAAGGTTGATTTTGAGGAAGAGAAATGAAATGCAGACTGGCAGTCGCCTCGTTAGCCGACTAAAGTATGCAATATCCACATAGTTGTTGGTTTTCCTTTCTCGCCCAGTCGTTATGAAAATTGTAGCTGGACACGTTCCCAACTGCAATTTTTACATGCAAATTGCTTGCTTAACAATAAAGTTCATTGTCATTAATTGGAACTATTGTCAATGCATGTTTTAATAAACATTTTCTGTAATAGCTATCAGGCTTACTTTCATTGGATTTAATGGGCCGAATACGCATTGATTTTATCAATGTTTTCGAAAACATGTCCTTGTACAACACCGATCCCTATAAGCGCTTTTACACATTAACCCAATCCCCTCAGTGTTTTGTCATTTGGCACTTAATTAACAAATGTTAGGATATAAAGGACATGCTGTGTATATGCAACAAGCATTTATTGCATTGTCTGAACTTAATTAAGGTTTGTGGGCAATTCGGTGTGTTTATCAACTCTGAAATAATTCAAACATTGAATTGCCTGCATTATGAATAGAAACTTTCAAATTGTGGATCTATTATTTCAGTGAATTAACATTAGTTTGTTCGATTCAAGAGTTATTTTGCAATGTGTTTTTTATGCTTTACGCTTTTCACTAATAAATAACGAGAGTAAAGAATTCCTGATGCTCGTATAAATTTGCATCATATTTAAGTGATTTTTTTTAAACAAAATTATACAAACTATTCAACAATCTCTTTCAAAACTTAAATTGTTAATTTGCTCTTGATTCTTAGCTGGCAGCATAAAAAAGCGAAAGGCCATGGGGCAAACAAATTGAAAGTTGTCATCAAAAAGTCACAATAAACAAACGGGTGTCAGTCCACACGGTTGCCTGGACACAGACCAATTGGTTGGCCAAGTGCTTTATGGGTCATAAAAAAAAGTTCGGAAGTGTAGGCACGTGCAAGTCGTCCAGTGCCAAGTGGTAAAAAGGGTCGCAGACATTAAAATTAATTGACATTATAATTGCCGACACGCAGCAACCAGTGGCCACAGCCCACACACACGCACAGGGCAATTTTAGCATATAATTGCCATAATCGCCTTAGCAGAAATACGAAGACGAATTTGAGCTTGAGCCACTCTGATTCGGTGTGGCAAATGCCACCTGCTGAACACGTGGCTGCTACAAATCGTTGGCCACTTAACATCCCAAGAGACACTAGTTTCGGATACAGTTACAGCTACTATGAAACATGTCAGACACACGGCCGATTTACTGCAGCTGTTTGGATAACAAATGCTTAATGCAAAACACGCATACGTCATGTTGAACAGCGCACCACTCCTTTCCGTGTGGTTGCTGTTGCTATTGTTGTTGCTTTACTGCGGCCACAACCACAATCGAACAACAACCACAATGACACAATGTGCGCAAAGCTGTTTGTGTATTTTCATTTTTACTTTGAGCAGTAGCCACAAATCATGCCGGCAAATGAGCATTAAACTCAATATGTTTCCATGTGTTATATTGATTTGATTATACAATAGACGCGCACGCTTTATTTAGTAGGTAATGTTCTTATTTATAGCCTGCAGCAATAAAAAACTAAGAGTCGATATGACTGACATGTTTTCTTATTTTTAGTGATAATTTATTTAATCAAATCTAACGATATAATCTGGCAAGGTATAAAAACAAAGAAAGAAGTTCTAATATGTTCGCATAATGAAATTGAAATATAAGCGAGAGGAGTTTACTTTTGGCATGGCTACAGGGCATCGGCAAGTCGATCACAGTTATCTTGGCTACTTATATACTACATGCGCGTGTTTTTGGTTGATTTGTTTGCCTAATTGGTGGGCTGTCTGGGCTGAATTAAAGCGAACATGGCAGTAGGTGAGTGTGTGTCAGCTGTGTGGCTTAAATGTGGACAATATAATTTGATTGATGTGTGAAAAGGTGGCATAATAGGATTATATGCATATGCAAGACTGAGTCCCTGACGAAGTATCAGATTCCTGGCACTCGCAGCCGGCAATCGTGTCTCAATGGTAACAAATTGACAAGGAAGATAGGATAGATAGATTGTGGGTAACTGTATATATATATATATAATAAACAATTAAGTGATAAAATCGAGCACATGCTTATTATATATCTATAAATTTACTCATAATCTATCTATCTTATCTTATTTGCATAATAAACAATTAATTGATAAAAGCGAGCAAATGTTTATTATAAATATCAAAAGTGGAAATCAAAAAAAATAATAAATCGTTATAAATTTATTAATATATTGATTCACTTTCTAATTTAAATTAAAACCAAGTGTTGAAACAAAATATTTGCTCATGTTTAAAATGCATTTAGAAATTCGTTGGCCAAACGAAATTGAGTGAATTTTAATGAGACATGAAAAACGACAGCCGCATCGAACAGCTGTCTCAAAACATTCTTATTTATTCAGTGCGGGCAATTACACTTTTTTCTTAACAAAAAGTAAACTTTAATCTGGATAAATAAAACACTTAGGCTTGACTGGCCAACGGACTGGCATTTTGCAGAGATCCATGTACAAATTTCATTTCAGACAGCTTCCAAATGGAAATTCCAAAAATGCACACCCTTTGTTGCAAAATAAAAGAAAACTTTGTTTAACAGCTGTACTTTTGTTGATTATGGAAAAGGTTTCGCAAGGGTGAGATTTACATAGAGAAAACAAGATATTCTCCCTGCAACGCTTACTTTAAAAAAATACACAATTTTTAAATTAAATAAATTAGGAGTACAAACCATAACCTAAGTGGTCTCCAACTTGATAATCAGTTTGGTTTTGGTAAAGTTATAGAAGTATACTTTAATCCCGGGTAGTTACTTTTAGTATACAAGTATTTAAGTAGTCGTTACGCTACTCTGCTGGCAATGGCAATTAAAATTGTGAGAGGTGGCCAAAAGAAAACAAAACTTTGGCCACTCTGCGCCTTATCGCCGATTGCTGGACAAATAAGCAACTTAGGGGCGAAAAGTTTTGTTCACGAATTGAGCGCTAAGATGTCACCTGACCAACAAGAACCACATGAACAAAAGCCTTGTACTAAAGTCTTTTCATTTCTCATTTCCTCTTTTGCAGCTTAAAGTGTCAACGACGCATGCTTGCAACAAGTACAATAGCAACAATAGCAGCGACAACGAAACTATTAACAACACTGGCCACCAGTGTGAGCATTAAGCGGAAAGGCAAGCAAAAAGCGGCAAAAAGTCAAAGTCACGCCCACACTGGCATTACGAATAACGAGAATTGCAAAAAGCAGCTGCGAAGGACGAACAGGACACTGGACGTAGCAAGTGGCAAGTGAGTGCACACACAGGTGTGACCCTGCAACAACAATAATAACTACAACCACAACAATTTATGTTACGGCAAAAGTTGCGAAATAAGTGTTTAAATGCCACACAGTCGTCGGCGTCGTCGTCGTCGTCGTTGTTGTGTTGCCTCCACCGATCTCTGCTGGTGAACCGCAAGTGTGCAAAGTAGAGAGACGTCAATAATTTAAATGGCCAGGCTGCTGCTGCGCTTGGAGCAGCCAGAACTTGGGGTAATGCCACCACCCGTGCCGGCCGCATTCGAATTCGAATATGATACGCCCATCAGTGTGAATCAATTTTTGGCCAGTGCGACGGGGCAAAGTCAGGAGGAGGATGCGGAACGATATGAGCTGACAGATCCAGTGGGCAGCACACTGTCACCGCTGCTCTACGATGTGGGTGAATGGCTGCTGTTCAACGGCAGCTTGGCGAACAGCGATGGCAACGGCACCCACAATGAGAATTCAACGAATCTCATCGATGATATGGGCAATTGGACGCGCATCTGTGAGGATGTTTATAATCCGCTGATAGACGATAATCGCATTGAGTTTTGGGTATGCGGCGTCATGCTGAACATTGTCGGCATCCTGGGCATACTGGGCAATGTGATAACCATGATTATATTGTCACGTCCACAAATGCGCTCGAGTATTAATTATTTGCTCACGGGGCTGGCACGCTGCGACACAATGTTGATTATTAGCTCGATGCTGCTCTTTGGCATACCCTCAATTTATCCATACACCGGTCATTTGTTTGGCTACTTCAACTATGTGTATCCGTTCATATCGCCAGCGATATTTCCCATCGGCATGATTTCACAAACGGCTAGCATCTATATGACCTTCACCGTCACCCTGGAACGATATGTGGCCGTCTGCCATCCGCTGAGAGCGCGTGCCCTATGCACCTATGGACGTGCCCGGATATATTTTATAGTTTGTGTCTGCTTCTCGCTGGCATATAACATGCCCAGATTCTGGGAGGTGATGCAGGTGACGTACCATGTGCCCGATACGGACATTGTGCTGCACTGCGTCCATCCATCGGCACTGCGACGCAATCCGACCTACATCAATATCTATATACACTGGTGCTATCTGATTGTCAACTATATCATACCCTTTCTCACGGTGGCCATACTCAATTGCCTGATCTACAGGCAGGTGAAGCGTGCGAATCGGGAACGCCAGCGTTTGTCCAGATCGGAGAGACGCGAGATTGGACTGGCCACGATGCTGTTGTGTGTGGTCATCGTGTTCTTTATGCTGAACTTTTTGCCACTGGTGCTGAACATTTCGGAGGCATTCTATAGTGTGGTCGATCACAAGGTGACCAAGGTGTCGAATCTGCTGATCACGACCAATAGCAGCGTCAACTTTCTCATCTATATCATTTTCGGCGAGAAGTTCAAGCGCATTTTTTTACTCATTTTTTTCAAGCGACGCTTGAGTCGTGACCAGCCGGATCTTATACACTACGAGAGCTCCATTTCGAATGGCGACGGGACCATGAACCATCGGTCATCCGGTCGATTCTCCCGGCACGGCACTCAGCGCACCGCCAGCACCACCACCACCTACCTGGTTGCCACGGGCGGCGGCAACAACTCACTGAACAGCGTTCGACTCACCCAAGTCTACGGCTCACCGGGACTGGTCACGATCAAACGCAGTCGCGCCCCCTCACCCGGTCCGGTTGTCTACTATCCGGGTCCACGAGAAATGCAGCGGTCCGTGTCCACCAGCAATTCGACAACGAACAATAATACGGCACTGGGCTACGACTGGACGGTGGATGGCAAGAAACTCGGACATGCCTCGTCGGGCTTTTGAGGCGACACCATGTACATAGTAATGAAGTAATGTCAACTAGTCAGATCCATATATGTAAATAACTATATATATATATATGCTTAGAGTGTATAAAACTGAGCGCGCCAAGCGTCGCGTTACTTTGTGATAAGCGTTAAGTGTTTCTCTCTTTACCTTTCTCTTTCTCTTTCGCTCTTCTCTCTAATCCAAGTAATCCTCCATCAAATCTTTTATTAGTAAACTGAAACTAAACAATAAAAGTACAGCAAAAGTTTCGTATCCAAATAAAACAGTTTTCCTTCTAAATAAAAGCTCAATACAAATTATTTTTCAGCTCTGTTGAGTTATTTTTAAAGTCTATAGTCAAATTTATCAATATCTATATACATATAATCACATATGTTTTGCTAGCAGTTTTCTAGATGAAAGACTGACTTTAGAAGGCACAGATTGAGCAAATAGTTGCTAGACTGAGATGGATAAATATAGCCAAAGTAAGAGGCTTACTACTATTATAACTCTTAATATAAAATATGTGTATATCATCCATACCCAATGTGTAACTATATTTATTGCTAAACACTGTATAATATAGCTATATTTAGTATAAATAGTGAAAGTGTCTATCTTAAATCAAGTACGTCCTCGATATGTGATACTATACGACGTCGTAATATCAAATATTCTACGCAACAGATTCGAATTGAGTTTTAATTAAAATCGTTGTAGAAATTTCCATTTTAACCTTTTTCAGCATTCTTGATTAATGAAACCAACCATCCGAACATTAATCTATTTGATTATACAAACTTCATGAACAAGTTCGATACGAAATTTTGCTGTACTCTCAATTGACACAAAAAAAAAAGGGAAAGCCTCCACTTATTATTTATTTTCGAATTACAGTTTCTCAAGCAACTGAGTTTGTTTCAATTTTGCACTAAATTAAGCTGCTAAACTTTTATAGGTCACTCAATAGATTAATGTCCGGGAAACTGAGCTGACCTAAAAATTTAATGCTATGCGTTTGCCAAGAAGAACTTTTATTTATTGGCTTCAAGTTTTGGCTTTTAATTAAATATACTTTCCACTGCATTTTTTTTAAGAAAACTTTATAAATGATTTTTCTCATTTCCTTTTTATTTGTTTCCTTTTTATTCTTGTTTAAAAAAAAAAAAAAAAACTTTTTCATTTTGTTATCGAAAGCAGTTTATATTTATAATTTTTTTGCTCTGCTTTCTTGCGATTGGGCTTTGGGTCGACGTTGCAATATGTCAAATTGTCGGAAAGTGAAAAGTTATAAAGTTGCCACGAAGTTCATTTTGCAAAAAGGTACTATTCGAATAAATGGGTTCATAAAAACTCTAATCAACTGAAAGTAGCTCAATTTAACAATTACACATAAACACACACACTTTGCTATAGTAAAAAGACATTTTCAGGTGTTCATAAATTGAATTTATTCAACTTACCTCCCAATACTATTGCTATTGTATAAATACCAAAAAAACTGACTCTGTAAATATTTCGTATATGATAATTATATATACATATATATATATATATAACGAATGCAAAGCATATATGGCGGATACAAAGAGAGTGCAGATTAAATATTAATTTTACTTAGACTTAGTTTAGTTTTAAATAAAACCATACAAACCAAAACTCAAGTTCAAATTTGCTCGAGAAATTAAATAAAAATATATTTAAAAAATTGTGAAAATATTAAAATATGCTAATCAGCTTTTCATTTATTTTCTGGGACAGATACTAAATGCAAATATAGTCGTTATAGTTGGGGCCGACTATTCTCAGCGTAGGCGGAATGAAATGGCCAATGAGCATTCCTAATGGCCACTTACAATTCAATTTATAAGCCCTGCCCACAAGAGGGCGTGGCTAAGGCGATATGCTCAACTGGGTCGAAATCTCAGCACCACCTGATATGTGGGTGTGCGTGGTGGATATGGTGGATGGGGTCTTGAGCTGGGTGGGTCTTAAGAGCTTTTCGCATTTGCCTATGCTAAGCACGTGGTGAGAGTTCAGAGTTTATGTCTCCAATGTCAGGACACAAAGGAATTTACTTATAATAACCATAAAAATGTCCAACCACAGATGTACTGCAAAATACCCTGTTACTAATTTAGCAGAAGCTTTCATTTAAGCAAACTATATACCCTCTTAGCAACACATACCCTATAATAAAAGCTGTCGCGCTTAGCCATGTGATAATCGGGCATAAGTTGAATTATACGTGTTACGTGTGATGGCAGCAGAAGCAGCCAGGATTCTACTAAACGCAGAGCTAATTAAAATTGGTAAATTTATGCATAGCTTAATAATTTGGCACGTTTACATGTAAATATCTTGACGCTGAAAAGTGTGCTATGATATTTTGCAGCAAAGATATAAAATTGTTGCGACAACAAAGACAAAAGCAATTCACTCACTCATTTTTTTTGTTATTATTATATTTATTATGCCAGCCGCATTTGAGTGTCGCCATGGCTTTGTGATAAAGACAATAAATCAGTTTGGATAATGTCAACAGTGAGAGGTCGTTTGGAAGGCGCTGCAGAAACGCAACAAAGCCAACCGCAGACAAAACCAACCAGAGTAGAGTTATTTTTGGTGCTGATGACTTTGTGTGTTTGTCACCGGTGCCTTAACAGTTTGATGTGTTTTTAATGCCATGCGGATTATCAGTCGTAGCACCCCCAAAATATGATGATGATGGGTTTATATTGCTGCTGTCGCTGTTATTGTTGTTGTCGTTGTAGCAGCCTTTGTCAAACGATATTCAGTTCTGCTTTGTCAGTGGCTGTCAGTGATGCCCTTGCAGTAGCTTTATTGACCCCGTCATGGTGCTGTCAAATTAATTAGCTGCCTCTTGTCAGCTACATGCCCATCAAAAGCTGCAAAACTTCAAATTTAATTAATGTTGGCCATGTGTTCGTCCTACACTGCTGCTGTGGCGCGGTTGCTGTCTTCCACAAGTTTTCAGACAAGTTTTCAACGCACACAAAAAGCCTTGTCAACGCTGCTGCAAAGGATTTACAGGACACACTCGATTTCCGCCTTTTGTACGCCAGTGAACTCCCAAGACTCTACTTTCTCACAAACGACAAACACTTGCAGCTAGGGTGTGGTAGCAGCTAGGGTGTGGCACCAGGCGCCTCCTGTCTCCTATCTGCCATCTACCATCGACATCTTAACTGCCTTGCGGCTGCTGCTCTACGAGCTATTAGTTTGAGTATAAGTACAACTATACTTGGGCACCAAACATTGAGCATTGGACTCCCCCACAACTCTGCGTACACAATTAGTTTTGAGCGCTCGCAATTACAGCGACAACCCTCAGCCCATCCAAGCAACAGTCTCATCCACATGGCTGGCTGCTTTGTTTAGGGTCCAATGTACCATAGCCAAAATATAAACAATGGCAGACAAACAATGACAGAATGCGAGATATGTATGTGGCATGTGGCTCGTGAATGGCCAAAAAAAAACAAGCCCAAAATAACAGTTGAAAATAGAATGCAAATCGTAAATTTCATTAAGCGAAATGATTCTACCCTATCTAAATAGCAATAGGAGTGCAATCTTGGTGGGCCCTCGGGCCTTAATCTGTTTTAAGCTCACATCATTTTTATATTATGTTAAGAGATTGCAGTATACTTTAAATAACGCAAATTCCTTTTGTTTTATTTTGCAGCTAAATAGACTTAAATTTGTTAAGAGAACAGACGTGTATTGTAGGGCAAGTCTTTTATAAGGAACCAGAAGGAAGAAAGAAACTTAACAAAATAAAAGTAAAGTTGTAGAACTATGACAGGAATTTTAACTAGAAAAGGTTTATTCAAGTGTTTATATTGTTAATATTTGATTAATATCGATTACTTCTGAAAATCGCTTAACTGTTGGGGAAAGTATGGCAGTGAGATTGTGGAAACCTCTCCAAGTCCAAATAGAATTTGGACATGCACTGTCAAGCCATAAGTTTAAATATATTGCTCCTGAAAGTCGGTTAACAAATTTGCTAGCTTTCACTCTTAATTTGAATAGTGAATAATTAAACATTTATTGCATAATTTTAATTTTTAGCAGAAGACTTTCGGTGCTTCCCTTACAGCAATTATCATGTTTATCGATTTTAGAAAAACACAGCAAACAGCAAACTTTAAGCAAGCCCAGCACTTAAAGAATTGCTTATGAGTACACAATATAAAATGCCAAATTGTTACACCAACCAACAGTTAGGTAATAAACCGGCTTAACACATGCTGCATACCTATACAGGGTATAAAAAAGGACAACGGAACCCTAAACAAGTGTGCTCCACACACTTCGCAGGGTCATATATATTTTTAATGCCGTGCACAGATGTCGCTAACAGTGGCCACTGGTCATTGAAGGATTCTATTTCGGGAAACAGCACTTGGAAAAAAAATGCGTCATCTGTCCGTGGCAAGTGGCAAGAGCAAGTGGCAGCTTAAGTGCATGGGTGGGAAATAAGAGGCAAAAGAGGCTGCACCACAGCCGCACCACAGGCAACCCTCATTGCGTTGACAATGTGTCGAGCTCTGCGGTGGCTGCACTTGTCTAACTTTTGACGAGGATTCCGCCGCAGCCAGAGTAAAGATTATGGCAGACATTTCAGACAAGAGAATAAAAAAACAGAATAAAGGGAAAAGTGAAAAGTGAATGGCGACAAACTGTGAATGAATTTTGATTCAGCTATTGGCAAAATATTGATTTTTATATGCGGAAATGCTAGTTAACAAGGTAAAATGGAAACTGAAAAGGATCGAGATTAGCTTGGCAGCATACTCCTACTGTTTAGGTCATCCCTTTTCCGGTTTATTCAAAAATTGAACTAACAAAGGTGCTCGGAAATAGGCTCCAGATTGGGCAAATAGAAATCCGGTACCATCACCATCATTTTGTCGTTACCGCTATTCCGTATCTTGGCCACATCTTTCAAGCTGCTGACCCCCGTGCCCACCAGAAGCGATTGACATCCAGTGTTATAGGCAAACATTATATCAGTTTGGATGCTTTAAGAGTGAAGAATAAATAAATGAAATTATTAGTTGACCCACTTTTTACATACGTATCGCCAATCATGAGCGTTGTTTCCGGATTAATGAGACCAGCGCTTATTGGCCGCCTCAGCATCCATGGATTGGGCTTGCCCAGAATAAGTGGCTTACGCTCACTGACAGTTTTAATCGCGGCTATAATTGGTCCTCCACCAACAACCATTCTTCTATTTTCACCGATAGGATAGCCCTTGTCCATGCCAGCGCCCAGAAAAAGAATGCGGCGATTTTGCAGATAGCTATTTGCTCGAATAAGTGTGGGCACATTGAAGTTATCATCCCTGCCAACGACAATGGCCCCGACATCTGGATCCAGCTTCAATTCCAAAGTGAAATCTTTCATCGATTTATTCATTGGCTCCGGCTTAACAGTAAATGAACAAATGTCCAAATTGGCTAGTTCCTCACTAATGCCCGACTCGCCCACAAGGAACACCTTCTTCTGAAACTTCTTGTTTGCCAAATAGTCGGCCACCGACAGCGATGCACTTATAATATGGTCCTTATCCGTCTCCAGCCCAAGGCTGATGGCCTTTTTCAGAATACCATCGCACGAAACAGTCGTATTGTTAGTCACAATATAGTTACGCTTGCCAGCAGCACGCAACGTATTGAAGGCATTCACGGCGCTAGCAATTGGTTTGTCATTGTCCCAGAGTACCCCATCCGCATCGAATAGCACCGTCTCAATGGTGCCCAACCATTGGAGCACACGTTGCTTGGTCAATGTGGTCAGGTGAGTACAGCTATGCTTAAACATCATCTATCGTTAGCAAATACAATTGAACATTTCTGAGTCGAAAATTTGGATTTTTATGTCTACACAACCTAGACAGCAAAACCACTACAAATTTTTGAAGCCACAAAGCCATATTACATGAAATATTTTCCGTTCACTTAAGCAAGCAAAAAAAATATATTTTAGGGTCTTAAGCATTAAATATTCCTTCAGGCAAATTTCAAAATGTTTCGGACAAGAAATTAATGTGCAAGGTTAGTGTATGAAATGGTTGTCTGATTTTAAAGTATTTTTACTCGAGAGTTATGAAAATGAATAATGCATTAAATATCAAATTTAATAAATATATCTTTCAAATGCTATAGTTCCTGCTTCTGCTATATAATATTATAAATTTGACTGTTGAATACCATCGAAAAAAATCAAGAATAATACCTTAGTTTGATCGCCTTAAAAATTCATAATTCCCTCTATAGAAATACTGATTACTTTTTAATAGCTACTATTATTAAGATTAGCAAGTATTCTTTTAAATATAACAATTTTATATAGAGGTTGCATTTTTGGGTCTTACATCATTACAAAACGTATAAAAAGATACTACAATATTATGTAACAAAAGTACGCACAAGTACAAATTGACAAACCACTTGGCATACATTACAGTATAGATGTATCGTACATACATAAGTTTAAGTATATAAGCCTATATACATAATACAGAAGACGCAGAAAACTTTTGCGTAACAGATCTCACACACATATCATACACGTGGATAATACTCTTAAGTTAACATTATGGAATACATATAAAAATGGTTTTCATTTTTCCACCTGCGGCATCAGCTCCTCTCCAATGTGGTACTATTCAATCATATTGAAGAGCAAACAAGAGAATATCATGCCAAAGATCTGTAAGATGAAACATGTAGATCAAGAAACTGGCTAGCTAAGCTGAAGCGGGGAGTATTTACCATGAGTATAGCGACACCAATGGATGTGCCTCCAATGACTGCCGCATGATCTCGAATGAAATTGGTTGTCACATAGAGGCAGCCCTGATTATACAGATTCGTGATGGTGGGAAAGATGGTGCACTCCTTGCGCTGTCCGCCAAATAACTCCTGGCAGCAGGACTCCGGCACCGGTCCGTAACGATTCCAGTCGTGCCAGGTATCGACGCCACAACACTGCAAACGCTCCTGCGTCAAATCCCATGCCTGTGTAATCTCACGTCGACTTCCGTACAGTGCCATTGTGGAGCGCATTTCCTACAATTTCACCCATCATGGATTAGTACTCTACTTGAATGCTGACCATAAGCTACTTACCTGTCGCATTGTCTGCTGCACTCGCTCACGAAATACGTAGCCCAAAACACCGCCAATTAGCATGGTCACGAAAACCAACGCAACAATGATGAAATACTGGAGATGGTAAGTAAATGTATATGTGGTTAACACCTGTGCTGCTAAGACAAGCAGCGAATAATAAATACATATGTCTATGTATGCCAATACATACATAAATCTAATCTTCATAAATAACAAACTAATTATGCGTGTATTTGACCTATTTACAGAATAAGAAGTAAGCCGAAGCTGGAGTATATCGAAAAGATTATCTGGGTAACAGCGTATACTATATATATATATTCGCATTTCCAAATATATGAAAATGTATGATTGAAAAATAATGTTATTAATATTTCCATAAGTCTCATGTAAAAATCTCTAAAATCATAAAACTTTAACATTTTTTAAATAAGCCTGATTAAGATAGCGTTTGAATAAATAAATCCGATTGCAACTTAACTTCAAATAAATACTTGTTAATAACAATTAAAGAAATAAGAATTATAATTATATTATATATCTTAATATAGTCCACTGCCACTTCACAACTTACCGATAAGAGCAAACATTTGACTTCCTTGCCAGCGCCCACACAGCCCAAAAACGAGACCAGGCAAATGATGACCGATGTGACCAGCAGGACATAGACGGCGCCCGAGAAGAGATTCGTGCCCAGCAGCTCATTAACAAAACTGCGATCCACCAGAGTCCAGAGCGTCAAGCAGAAGACAATCGCACCGCCAACCTAAAAATCGAGTGAACAAATAATGAACTAAGATGAGCACTACTTTAGAGCCAAGTCAAGATAATACTTACAAACATCACAAAGTTCGCTATGAACAAACTGTATTTGACGAACTGCCCGCAGCAGTCCATGCGCGAACTAAACCCCATGTCGTCCTGGTGCGGGAGAGAGATACAGCGAGCGAGAGAGGGAGAGAGAGAGAGAGAGATGGAGTGAGAGGTGAAATTTGGAATGTGGTGTGTGGAGTGTGGAATGTGGAGTGTGGAGTGTGGAATGTGCTAGCTTCAATGAGATAAAGAGAGTCTTAACAACAGTTAGGCTGTGTTCAAAAACGGTAGCGTTGCGAGCAATGCGTAAACAGTGAATGAACGGCGCATTTGTGGCAACGATCGCAGCTTGGGCTAAAATACACTTAACCATGACCCACTTTTAGACGTTGTCGTCGTTGACGTAACCAAGGCGAAGCGCTAGACAACTGTTGTTGTTGTTGTTATTGTTGTTGTTGTTGTTGTTAGTTGATGTACTTGCTTTAAAGCTTACTTTGTGTAAAAAACAACTTGAAATATTGAGCTTTTCACCAATCTATTTGTGAGCTGGGAATATGTTTCGGTATCGGAAGGAGCGCGAAAATCGACGAGTCATAAAAATACTCAGTTATAAAATTAAATTCATTTTTATTTTTCTGTTGTTGCTGTTGTACTTTAAGTAATCAGGTAGGTAGGTAATTGAAGTACATGCGCTATTCTAAAGCAAACCTCGTAAATGTTAATCATTTTAATTGCTTGCTTCGACTTCTACATAAATTATATGTAATTAGACTCTACGCGACGTTCTGACGCATCGTAATGTTCCTCTACATATATATATATATACGCACACATTAATATATATATATATATTTACATATGTATTACTTATTCGTATCTGAACGGCATCTCAGTTTGAGTTTGATTTGAAAATTTAAATGTGCCCCTGAAGCGTGTCTGTTATTTGCGGTTATTAAATAATTTTCTCACACTGTTAGTATGTGAAATTTGTCGTGTCATATGAATAACAACAACAACCATTTACATATATGTAAGTACTTCTATTTAGGTAGAATCGTGTCTTAGATGTCAGTAAGTCATCCAAGCAATTGAACTATCTATTAATTATGGGGCGTTGTCAGACGAGCTCAAGTGATTTTTTTACTGACGAATGTAAATGCAAACGAATTAGCAAACCTCATTTATTATTACTTAAATATGTTCATTATACAACCGAGCAAATTTGTTTTGAACAGCACGTGCAAAACTAGTCATGAATTCGTATTATTGGGGCTGTCTCAGATTGCAATCTTAAAATGTACTTTATATGCAAATATTATGTAGATAAGATAAGATTCATTCACAACAACTCAAATCTTAATTTTAATCATAATTTTGAACGCAATTAAAAAAAATCGGATATTTCATGTAAAATAAAATAGCTATGATATTAATGAGAAAGAGAAATTCAAAACCTCAGGCGATTAATCAATCAACAATATAATTCACAACCTAATTGCATTGAATTAATTAATCGGAGGATTATTAAAAATGTGACTTACTCGGTCGCCTTCCCTTAGCACAAACGAGGTTTTCGTTAGGTAACCAATTTTGACGGTTTATTTAATAATCAACAAGTTGAATTGTTGCACTACAAAAAGCGCTGATTACGGGGATTTTTTTTTGCTGTTCGGCAAATGGCAGGAAGTTCGGCAAAAACTGCAAACAAACAAAAACAAATATTGAATAAACTGATTTCAATATGCAGCTCTACATTTGTTGTATTGATTAAGAACAGCTAATTGACTGTTTGGTTTTATATTATCACAGCGAAGTGGTTTTTCCGCTAACTTTATGAACTATGTTTGATGTTTGCTTTGACTTTTATCTATCACAATTACTACCGCCCACCAGTTGTTACTACTATTAAACCTATCTACGCCAAATTTAATATACCCTTGACAGCTAAAACTATAAACTACGCCCACTTTTGCAATTTTATTCACCGATGCGTTTTTCCCGCCGGAATACATTCTTTTTTAAATTTATTTTGCGCTGATAACAGAGTATCGCGCCGTTGGGATCTTCATGCTGCAACGATTTGACTTTTCCCTTTACATTTGTTTTCGGTTTTTTTTTTTGCTCTTGCGGATTTATTGAGTTTACTGTTGAAACTGTAATATGCATATATGTATGCATTTCATAACGCATGTATTTATGTTATAATTAATAATTTTAATTTGTACAAATATTTATTTAATCAATTTGTAAATGCCATATAGTTTTCATTTCCATATTATTTTTGAATTTTGTAATTCATATTTTCTGTGTAATTTTAAATTGGTCGGCCTCTTGCCGTTGATAATTGTTATTAAGTTTTATAATTGTTGTTGTTATTGCTTTTCGTGTTGTTGTCATATCCATGGCAAACAACTTTTTCAATTTGATATTTACTTGGTGTCTGTTGTGCAATTGTGTTTCTCTTTCAACTTATCCTTTGGTATCTTTGCATCTTTCTCCAACTAGATCACTTTATTTATCATTTAGTTAACGGCATATATTTTTTATTTTAATATGAAACTCACTTTATGTTTTATTTCTAGTAATTTTGTTGTATATGAATTTTGCGAAAACAAAAACCAAGCGTCAACAGCCGTCTTCCCAAAATGCTACTCCACCGTCTCCACCGCACGAACACTGGCTTGGAACTGGTTATGGGAACAGTTTGGAAGCTCGGTTTTTTATTAGTTTCGCTGACAAAGAGCTTCGTTGTTGTCTTGTGCTTTGTTGTCTCTCAGCACAAATTACAACAATGCTCATCGCTGCAATGCTGGTGCGAAAGAGACGCACAATTAACAACAACAAGCGGTTACCTGAAGCCAGCGCAGAGAGCCCAGCTTCGGCATTGCTTACAAACCGCAAATACTTTTCGAGTGTCTCAGTACTTAAGGTTGTTGTTGTTGTTGTTATTATTATACCCTGAAAATTGGTAAACAGAGGAATAGTGAAACTGTGCAAATGCATGTAACAAGTGGAAGGAGATAACTATATTAAGTACATACATATATATGTATATATGAAAATATTATTAAAAAGTAAATAAACGAAAAAGTTATTTTAAAACAAAAAACTTTAGAGAAAAGCTATGAACAGCATTCAACGTATTTGATTTTTTTTTTTAGATTATTCTGCATGTGAAAAAAGTAAGTACGCTGCTGAGCACAGAGTAACAATTAGTCACCTCTCAGAGATTGGCGGTGTTAGTTGATTTTTAGTATAGGCATGGCATGTGAAAATGTTTAGAGTAAACAAAACATGTTTTCAGTTCGTTTTTTTGCTAAAGCCACAGTCTTTGTCTCACTGTAACCTTGCCGAGGGTATTATAATTTCGTCACAAAATTTGTAACACATTAAAGGGACGCATTTCCGACCTCCACAAAGTTTATCTGTTCTTGATCAGGACGACAAGCTAGTGTCAAGTCAGACATGTCCGCATGTTCGTCATTCTGTTTCTATCTTGATGAAACTTGAAAATTGTTTATTTTTAAACAATCAAATAGTGAAGTCCGCAAATATGCAACTATTTTTATTATTTATTTAGTATTTATATACCATATATACACACATATTATATACAACTTATATATATGTTTATAAATACTTGATTAACAATTTCTGGAGGGTAGAAACTTGAGCAAGTCGGACAGTTTGGGCAAATACAGATCAGGTATTTGCTGGTACATCAGAGGCAGCTTGGATCTCTGCAGCTTGGCCACATCCTGAAGACTATTGTTGCCTGTGCCAACCAGCAGTGTCTGGAAGCCGCAATTGTACCCAAGCTGAATATCTGTGTACAAACTGAAAGCAACATTTGGTGTTAATTGAAGGCAGAGTTGAGGCACAGTTGCTTACGTGTCGCCCACCATCAGAGTGCGTTCCGGCTTGATGACTCCCTGGCGTAGCAGATGCAAACAGATGAACGTATTTGGCTTGCCACAGCTGAATGGTGCTCGTTTAGCCAACGATTCCACTGCAGCAACCATGGCACCAGAGCCGGGAATGAAGTGACCTGGGGCCACAGGAAATGAGTGATCACGATTGGTAGCCAGGAAGAGCACCTTTGGATCCATCAAATAGCAGCCGACTTTCGCGAGCTTAAGCATATCGAAATCCTTGTCTAATCCAACGGCTACAGCACCCACTTGCGGATCCAATGTTATATTCTTAACATAATCAACCATTTGGGATCCTATCATCTTGCCTTCGTCCAGTGGCAAAGACTCAATGCCCACGCACTCAAGTTCATCGGCGATGCCCTGTCCACCCATGATGTAGACTTTGCGATTAAACTTGCGTTGCTGCAGATAGCGGGCCAATGCCTCTGATGACGACATCACCTCATCCTCGGCTATGAGGAAGTCCAGATCTTGTGCCTTGGCGCACAGTTTCTCCCGCGACGTTTCCGATGTATTTGTGCAGATGAATGCCTGTTTGCCCATAGCACGTAAAGCATTGAATGTGTCTGGGGCGCCATCGATTGCCTGCTGCCCGCGCCACAGTACGCCATCTGCATCAAAGATGATCGTATCGAAGGTCTTCAGCCATTGCCCCACACTAAACTTGTTCAAGGCAAGCAGTTGACAGACACCCTTCTTTATTGTAATGCCAGGTATCAGCATAGTTCGTAGTAAGTTCAGCTTTGATTTGTGTATTACTAGCAGTAGAAATATAATGTATTTTATTATTTATTTTGAAACTACAGCAAAATCATCGAAAACTATGTTTGAGATAAAATAATCTTAACGATTAACGATTTACGCGTAATACTTTTAATACTTATCACCTTCTATCAAAATTAATACGACTTCCAAGGTCATTTTATAACTCGCCACAAATGATTCGACTAATGGCAAGAAGTTTTTGCATCACTTTCAAGTTGTGAAGCACAACAAAACCGCAAGCCAACCACTAAAGCCACGCCTTTTACTATGTCCAAAATATAATTAAACTTATTTATCTGCGTAAGCTGAAGTTCTATTCAGATTTTTCAACTTCTAGAAGGTTTTTAGAACATCCGTTCAAATCATTTGCAAAAAGTTACTTAACGCCTCGGTGCACAACTTGACGACGCTTTGGTTGACAGTCGTTTTGCCCAGGAGAGTGGCTCACAAGGTCATCGGTGGCGCATTTAATTCACTAAACTTTGAACATTTCTTATTGGGACAGTAGAAAACAGAAAGAAGACTGCCAAAAAAAAAAAAAAAAAAAATAACCGAAACACAAAGTTGTGGCATTGGAGCAACTTTTAATTGAGCGCAATGAAATTACCAACTTAAAAGGAGAGTCGCGAATTTGGAATGGCGTCAGGCGGCGTTTTGAGACCGCCGGAGAGGCAAGAAGGATGTAAGCGTCAAGCGGTCAACACCCGCGGCGTTAAATTAAATTGGCATTTGACTTTGCTGTTCCTAATGATTCCGTTGTTGTTGTTATTGTTCTCCTAAGCGTGACCAAAAATCCGACACTTTTCCAAGCGTACCTGGGCATTAATTCATGGAAACTTGTTTGTACACCGGCTATTTGTGTTTTGGAATTCGCATAAATCTGCGACAATTTGGCGGATTTCCTTGACTACGGCGTTACTCGTGTCAAATAGCCGTCAGCTATGCCGGCTCATTGAAGTTCCGGCGCAAATTAGTTGACCAATTTCGAAAGCTTGTTAAGCGGCAAAGCTTTTGGCCAAACACGAGACCGCAAACATTTTTTTGAAACAGCTTAAGAGTATGCTATGTATATTTGGACCGTAGATGTGGATTAGACGGCAAAAACTTGAGTTCAATTAAATTTCCCTTTTTGTTTTTATTTATAATTTTTATCAGACAACTATTTCATTGACTAAAATAAAACCAATTCTCAGATAAATACAGGAAGCTATGAATGTGCGCAGTGAAGAGTCAAACAAGTGTATTTAATGAATTTTACATTAATTTCTTTGAGCTTGAATCGCTTTTATTTTCCACTTGCATGATTTCCAATCCGTTTATAAGAAATGCAACAAAAAGTAATTTAACAATTTGTAAGAGATCTCTTTTCACCCATTAAGAGTACAGAAAAGTACAAGGAGTTTTTTTTTTGGCAATCTACTTAAGGCCAAAGCAGGCTAGACTTGGCCAGATTTTGCCAGACTTTGTTAGACTTTGTCAGACCAGGCGTAGTTGTCAATAAACACAGCCACCCATTTAACAAGCCGTACAACCCTAAGAAATGAGGCACAAAGCGAAACTTTTGTATTGAGTTAGCAAAGAGCAAGTTAACTGCTTTGGCGCTGTGTACTCTAATTAATACCTTGAAAAACTGACTTGATTTATATGCTAATTAGTGCATTGCAGCCAAGCCAAGACCAATTACAGTCCTTGTCAAGCTAAAATTAAAATTAAAGCTTAACGCCCAAATGATTGCTGAGGCTGTTGCCACTTGTGCCATTTCTGACACTTGCTGCTTATCAGACAACAGCCAGAAGGCAGCAGGCAGCAGGCAACAGTCAGAACAATGCCAACGACTTTAAATTATCGAACATCGACGCATAAATCATGCACAGATAGCATCATTAGCTGTCTCGGTGGCAAGTGCGGATTGTAAATGGATGAAATGGACGCCAGGTCTGTGATTGGCTTCGCCTGGAATTGCGCAAGTATTCCATCGAGCGAAAACAATCTATCTGAGTGAGTATTTACCACATTGACTGATGGCAACAATGAGGTGTGCAATCAATATTGCACTTTGCCTGCAATTTCCTTACAAAATTAAAATATTTTCCAGGCAATAAATACCAAAGTGTTTACAAACTCCGTCTAAGAATTTACATGTTTAGCATGTCGATGATCAAATACGCTTCCTTAAAGCAATTCGTAATTGACTTGATATTGATCCCGTTTTTACTTGAGCCATAGAAATGCGTTTTATTCTATGTCAAATATTCATGTAACAGCCAAGCAACGGCTCAAGTGATTCATATATTTAAGTCCTTTAAGCCGACAGAATGGCAGACAGCCAATCGGATCCATAAGCATACTCTTGTCATAGCATTTCACTTATCAAGAGAGAAATACTATACCCTCTGGCAGAGTAAAATCAAGAAATACGAACAGTTACCTTTACCAGCTGCACAGTCGAGTACACCAAAAAGCAATCATTTTGCCTTACAAAGAAAAAAGAAAACCACTTTTTCTCCGGCGCCGCTCATTGAGTAAGAGAAATCCATTTGCTTCAGGGTGCACGCTCCATATTTTCCATTTATCAGCTTAGCCGCACTGGCACAAAAGGCCTATGGACAGCAGACATCTGAAATCTGCCAGATTAACATTTAAATATGTACTTCATTTTTATCTTGGTGCATTTAGGCATTGAAAATCGAGTCCATAATTATGTTTAGAAGCAACTCACTTAAAAAAAATTAGTGAAACAATTAAATGCAAAAAATAATTGGTAACAATAGCAACACTTTCAACTAAACTTCGAATTTGCATTTTTTCAAAGGATTTTCTAAAACTGACTAAACAAGTTTTTAATCAAGAAGCAATTTGCTCTTGTTCTATTTACTTTGATAAAATTTAGCTGACAAGGTGTCAGCAGTAAAGAGTGCATAATTTAAGTCAATGCCGACATTCCGACAAGGACAAATTATGTATATAAATAATGCATATGTATTTTATGCAAACGCCTTGAATCCTTGAACGTTGCAGTTAATTTTTTAGCATACACGGCAAAGCATTTAAGGAAAAGTTGAATATTTATTTGAAGTGAGCACTTAAACTAAACTGAAATCTGGTTGCAACACTTACGATGATGGATGACATAGTGAAATTCTATAATGTAGTGCTGCACAGTGGTTGACGCTTTTGCTATAATATATTATAATATTAGATACCCTAGAAAAACCGCGAAAAGTAATTTATTCCTTGAATTGAAGAAACCTTAGAACATTTCATAAAAACGCGGTGTTGCCATCTAAAGTCAGTTGTGGAAAATAGATTTGCGACACTTTGAAGCAAATAATCTTAAAAATAACAAATATATGTTTAATAAAGTCGTATAAAGTTTCTTTATCATAGCGACGACAACATCTAACCCCCAGACGAAGTCCTTTTATAGTACAACTGCCTCAGTCAAACAGTTCACGAAGCCAGCACGGCAACTAAAGAGAAGCCACACTTAAAACCACTTATAGTTAAAGAAATTTATTTAAATATCATAAGTTTGGTTCAACTCAGGCCAGGCCAAGGGTTATATATATATATGTAGGAAAATGATGTGGACTTACGTGTATCCATATTTGTATCTGTTTACTGTTTATCTGTGTCAAGGGGGGCACAGTTTGAATGGCCTCTCTTAACGCTTAACTTCTCGCAGTAATATTTAATGTTTACTCACTCGTATTTTATAATTAAGAGTAGCCACGCAACGTCAATCACTGAAATTTATACTGCCGTCAAAACAAACTTGTAGCCGTAATTTCCGCTTATGTGCAATGAGTGCATATCCAGCTATACGGCTGGGTCACGTATCCATATCCATATCCGTATCTGTTTTTCATAATTTTTTCCACCCAACTATGTATGTGTTTTCCATGTGTATGTGTGTGTATATTTGCTTATGTATTTGTTTGCTGTTTTCCGTATGTATTTGCTGTTGCCATTTTCATTTGCATTCGTGTCCACCGGCGAGTCATAAATCATTTTAGCCACACTCAGTGTGTGGACGGCATATGGGGGGTATGCATTGATTTAGGGGCGTGGCCAACAGACTAGTTGCAGTTTCGCTCTGGCCACAACCAATTGTGTTAAATGCCAGAACTTTTGCAAACAAGACGTCATGCTACGCACAGGACTTAATCAGTAGTTTCGACATACCACATGGCGTATACGATTAAGTTAGTAGGCTTATTGCCGACCTAGTTAGCGAGAGGCCGTTTTAGCCAAGGACCGTATTAACGGCAATTTAATAAGGCAAATTGTGCTCCTGTTGCGAATTGTTGCCCAACTTTCGCTCAAGTCCAACGCACATCCGGCAACCGCAAACGTTCCTCATCCCTCCCCTCATCGTCGTCCCTGCTGCCATCCATCGTTAATCAATTAACTTTGAAGCTTTTTATATGATTGCACGCGAGTACTCAGTGACTTGTGTGTATGCGTGGAAATGAAGCCCCGCCACGCGCAAATATAATTAATGATCAAGTGTCAACAAGAAGCGCCAATAATCTGAAATATCTTATATAATATTTATACTTATTGTATATGTGCTATTCGCGTAGTATTGCGGCGAATTGAACTTCGTTTTGGGCCAAACCATAATTGGCAGCGCGTGGCTCAACTTTTTACCTTGACAACCAAACTTGGCTTAAGAGTAGTGGTGGTAGTAGTAGTGACGAGGTATTTAAGTATTTAATGAAGAGTAGAGTTGCTGAAGCCATTTCACATTTTCAGTTATGTAAGCATCTGTTGTACAATATAATTTTATCATTTCTTCTTTCACTCCACAGCTTCTTGCTTAATTAAGAACGATTTATTCATATTTTAATATTGGGGTTAATGGACTAATGGCGTATTTAGACCTATACAAAGCCCCTCCGCGCCTTAATTCGTTCTTCATTTTGTAATCAAGTATATTCTTTGTCTTCTTTTTACAGAGTATGTTGACCATGAATCTTACTGCCA